GCCTGTAGAAAAACAGTCTTCCTGAAAATGTGAGCCCTGGTTCTTCTCTGGCTAAGTTTAAATCCAGGTTAAAAACAGCTGCAAACGACTGAAGCTGTAAAAGTGTTTGGAAAGGTCTGATATGAATTGGAATATTTGTTGAGCCGTGTTGCCTCTGATAAAACTAATTACACGCCACAAATGTTTAGAATCTAGTTTGTGTTTTGCCTTTCTGAGTGGGTTTGCATGTTCTCCCTGTGCCTGTGTCATGTAGGTTTCCTCTACCACTGAAAACATGCACAATAGGTCTGAACGTAACGAGTGAATGGAGGGTGTTTGGTCGGAGGCTTTGATGGTCCAGTGTGTTCCGGTCTCACTTCCGTCATCACCGCCTGTGAATGGAAAAATATCTGATTTCTGAACTATGGGTAAAATGTGCCATATAAATAAATATGAATTATACTTTTCAACCATCTCTACCAAAGAAGAGCCGTAGTAGCCCCTCCCTCCTGCTGCAGCGTATGGAAAGTATATGATTAACAGTAAGGCATGACCTCACCGGTGACAGACTCTGAGGCTGTGGCGGCTGTGGCGGCGGCTGTGGGCGGGGCCTTCACACATACGGCTGTTTTTACAACTCCAACCACTGTTTCTGTTTCGACACATTATCACCGTTTGTGTCTCGTCGTTGGGACTGTAAAAAAAGTGGGAGTTAAAAGATAATGAAAACGAGCTTGTCCTTGTGTGAGTCTGAATCGTGGAGAATGTTTTGTTACTGAGCATTCCTGTCATACCTCCACACGGCCCTGATTCTCCCACAGGGGGGGGGGGGGGTGTTGTTATAGCCAAAGGGAGGACTTTTTGGAGGGGGGGGGGGGGCTGTGTCACATCTGGTGTAATGCATATGAGCTGTGTTTTGGTTATGATCATATTCATTTAAAGGGGATGTACATAAGTCGGGTAAGTCCAATAATACACTGCAAAAAGTGAGGGAAGAATGATTGAGACTGAAAACTAGATTTGTCAATGGGACAAAACTAAATAATCTTGTTTTTAAAAGGTTCAGAAATGTCTCCGTTGGAATGAGACGAAACTGATTATTAATATAAAAACCACTTGATTAAAGCATTTACTACTTAATATATTTTATCCCTTTTTACAGTGTATGTTTACAACGGCTTGACTTTCTAAATTCAGAGGTAGAAAGAACCGCCCCCTCCACTTTAAAAAAAATCTCTCTGGTATTGGACGAGCACCTATCAGCAGAGTGATTGACAGTTGGGAGGACCAATAGTCTTGATGATCCACCCAGAAGTAGAAAACCAGCAAACAACTCTCTCTCTCTGTCTGTGTGTCTGTCTGTCTGTCTGTGTCTCTGTGTCTGTCTGTTTCTTTGTGTCTGTCTGTCTATCCCTCTGTGTCTGTCTGTGTGTGTATCTGTGTGTCTCTGTCTGTGTGTCTGTCTGTCTGTCTGTATGTCTGTGTGTCTGTCTGTCTTATGTCTGTGTGTCTCTGTCTGTCTGTATGTGTGTCTGTCTGTCTGTGTGTCTGTCTGTCTGTCTGTCTGTGTGTCTCTGTCTGTCTGTGTGTGTATCTGTGTGTCTGTCTGTCTGTCTGTATGTCTGTGTGTCTGTCTGTCTTATGTCTGTGTGTCTGTCTGTCTTATGTCTGTGTGTCTCTGTCTGTCTGTCTGTCTGTCTGTGTGTCTCTCTGTCTGTCTGTCTGTGTGTCTCTGTCTGTCTGTCTGTCTGTGTGTGTATCTGTGTGTCTCTCTGTCCGTCTGTGTGTCTCTCTGTCTGTCTGTCTGTGTGTCTCTCTGTGTGTGTCTCTCTGTCTGTCTGTCTGTCTGTGTATCTGTGTCTCTCTCTGTGTCTTTCTCTGTGTCTTTCTCTGTGTCTTTCTGTCTGTCTGTGTGTGTATCTGTGTGTCTTTCTCTGTCTGTCTCTCTGTGTCTGTCTGTGTCTGTCTGTCTGTGTGTGTCTCTGTCTGTCTCTCTGTGTCTGTCTGTCTGTCTGTCTGTCTGTCTGTCTGTGTGTGTCTCTGTCTGTCGCTCTGTGTCTGTCTGTGTCTGTCTGTGTCTGTCTGTCTGTGTGTGTCTCTGTCTGTCTCTCTGTGTCTGTCTGTCTGTCTGTCTGTCTGTCTGTCTGTGTGTGTCTCTGTGTGTCTCTCTGTGTCTGTCTGTCTCAAACAGGACACAGGGCGAGTCATTGAAGCGGGGAGCGCTGCTGCGTCAAACCATCTCCCACTGTCGTCCTGTCCAATACACACACACACACAGACACACACACACACACACACACAGACACACGCACATATATACACACATACACACTTACACACACTCACACACGCACACGCACGCACGCGCGCACAGAGACGCAGCAGCTTCAGGGCGCAGTCTCTCTTCGCGGATCCAGAGGAAACTTGTGGATTGTGAAAACTTTGAAACTTTGACGCATCAGTTTGAGTTTATGAAAAGAGAAACGCGGCGGAGACACGGCGCGAATGGAGAAGCACAAAGGTACGAGTATTTCAGAGTATTTCAGAGTACTTCAGAGTATTTCAGAGTTTTTCAGAGTTTTTCAGAGTATCTTTCTGACCATGGGACAGTGATGAGCGCAGTTGTTATCCTTCTGTGGACCTGAGACTTGTGTTACGGTCGCACCTGCTTCATGTTGCATTATAAATATATGTTGGTGCCATTAGAACTCACAGAGCAGTCAATATGACGGCTTTTGCTTTTGGACGTGTAAGTACTCAGCTCGTGTGCGTGTGGTCTCAGACTGCATTGATCCACAGGGTTTGCGTGGTTACAGAAGGTTGCACAGTATTTAACAATAACAAATAAAAATAGGTTCCTACCTTTGTGGCTTTCTCTGTCGTTTATGTTCAGTAAATCTATGTCATTATTTGTATTATTTATCATGATCTTTTATCTTTGAAATGTGAGTCTAGTTCTATCTTTGACTCTGGTCAGACTCATGTGAAGCATTTTCAGTTTCTTTCATTCAAGAACAGATGATGGTGAGAAACCTTTGCTTTGACTGATCCCGGTTCGACTGAGACTCACACACTTTCTTTCATTCAGTTAAAGCCTGTGTTCCATGTTACTCGTTCTGGACTGGTCCTGCGCTGGTCCTGCGCTGGTCTTGAACTGGTCCTGGGCTGGTCCTGCGCTGGTCCTGGACTGGTCCTGCGCTGGTCCTGGACTGGTCCTGGACTGGTCCTGCACTGGTCCTGGGCTGGTCCTGGTTCAGCCTGGTTTTCCACCAGAGAATAGCAAGTGCTAGTTACTATAGCAACACGTTGTTTACCATCAGGCCTCAGTTTTGATACTCCATGTGTATCTGGGTTTGAGGCTCTCATGTGTCTCTGGGTTCGAGGCTCTCATGTGTATCTGGGTTTGAGGCTCTCATGTGTCTCTGGGTTCGAGGCTCCATGTGTCTCTGGGTTTGAGGCTCTCATGTGTCTCTGGGTTTGAGGCTCTCATGTGTCTCTGGGTTCGAGGCTCCATGTGTCTCTGGGTTTGAGGCTCTCATGTGTCTCTGAGTTTGAGGCTCTCATGTGTCTCTGGGTTCGAGGCTCTCATGTGTATCTGGGTTTGAGGCTCTCATGTGTCTCTGGGTTCGAGGCTCCATGTGTCTCTGGGTTTGAGGCTCTCATGTGTCTCTGGGTTTGAAGCTCTCATGTGTCTCTGGGCTCGAGGCTCTCATGTGTCTCTGGGCTCGAGGCTCTCATGTGTCTCTGGGTTCGAGGCTCTCATGTGTCTCTGGGTTCGAGGCTCTCATGTGTCTCTGGGTTCGAGGCTCTCATGTGTCTCTGGGTTCGAGGCTCTCATGTGTCTCTGGGTTCGAGGCTCCATATGTCTCTGGGTTTGAGGCTCTGATGTGTCTCTGGGTTCGAGGCTCCATGTGTCTCTGGGTCGTGAGCCCAACACGTGCGCACACATTTCAGCACAAATTGACAGTTAATCATATTATTTGTTCTGGTTTTATATCATTATCTCTGCGGCGGCGGCAAACGACGGTTTCCAATTGTTGCTACATTGTTCCCAAACATTCCTGGAATTCCTGCGGTTATTTGTCCATGTGGGATGAGCAGGGCCCTTTAATAGTCCGCCCTGATACACACACACACATCATACACACACACACATCATACACACACACACATCATACACACACACACATCATACACACACACACACACACACACATCATGCATACACACTCATACACACACAGACAGACACACACACACATCATACACACACACACACACACACACACACACACCATACACACACACAGACACACACACACACACACACACACACCATACACACACACACACACACACACACACATCATGCACACACACTCATACACACACACACACACACACACACAGACACACACACACACACACACACACACACACACACACACACACAGTCCATAATGAGGCCAGAGGTGTGGAAGGGTCACTGATCTCAGCCCCGTGTGGTTTATGGAGGTTTAAAGGAGACACAGGAACCAGAACTCAGCTGTTGTCGTGTTGTTGTGTTGTTGTGTTGTTGTGTTGCCGTGTTTTTCAACCTGTGGGCCATGGGACGTAGGTGGGCTTTGGGATGTTTGTTATTGTGCCCTGGAAATGACCCAATATCAGATGTTTTGTCAAAATCATGTGAAAAGGAAATGAAATGAGGTGTGTTTGTACTTTACTAATTAACTGAATAATTCACATTTAAAGTGACTTCGTTAATAATGATAAACAGTCACTTAGGCTCTTTACAAAGTAGTGTTTTGAAAAGGCAAATATATTTTTTATTCTGTTTTATTTCAAGTTCAATGTAAATTTACAAATACAAAACTGAGCATCAGACAAACTGGAAAAGGACGGAGAGGAAGAAAACCACTCTTTCAAAGTTTAAATATGAACCAAAAACAAGGCTGTAAAAGAATCACTGATGTCGATGGAGCTGAAGAAGGAACGACACTTTATTTCTATGACTCTGAAATATATCTGACTTTTCAAAACACTTTAAGAAACAGGAAGTCACAGTTTTCTTTGGCTCAAGGTGCACCGCTGCTGAGAGAGACCAGAGGGAGACCAGAGAGAGACCAGAGAGAGACCAGAGAGAGACCAGAGAGAGACCAGAGAGAGACCAGAGAGAGACCAGAGGGAGACCAGAGGGAGACCAGAGAGAGACCAGAGAGAGACCAGAGAGAGACCAGAGGGAGACCAGAGGGAGACCAGAGAGAGACCAGAGAGAGACCAGAGAGAGACCAGAGAGAGACCAGAGAGAGACCAGAGAGAGACCAGAGGGAGACCAGAGAGAGACCAGAGAGAGAGACCAGAGAGAGACCAGAGAGAGACCAGAGGAGAGAGAGAGAGAGACCAGAGAGAGACCAGAGGGAGACCAGAGAGAGAGAGACCAGAGAGAGACCAGAGGGAGACCAGAGGAGAGAGACCAGAGGGAGACCAGAGAGAGAGAGACCAGAGGGAGACCAGAGAGAGACCAGAGGGAGACCAGAGAGAGAGAGACCAGAGAGAGACCAGAGAGAGACCAGAGAGAAGACCAGAGGAGACCAGAGAGAGAGACCAGAGAGAGACCAGAGAGAGACCAGAGAGAGAGAGAGACCAGAGGGAGACCAGAGAGAGACCAGAGGGAGACCAGAGAGAGACCAGAGAGGAGACCAGAGAGGGAGACCAGAGGACAGAGAGAGACCAGAGAGAAAGACCAGAGAGAGACCAGAGAGAGACCAGAGAGAGAGAGACCAGAGGAGACCAGAGAGAGACCAGAGGGAGACCAGAGAGAGACCAGAGGGAGACCAGAGAGAGAGAGACCAGAGAGAGACCAGAGAGAGACCAGAGGGAGACCAGAGAGAGAGAGACCAGAGAGAGACCAGAGAGAGAAGAAGAGAGAGACCAGAGAGAGAGACCAGAGAGAGAGACCAGAGGAGACCAGAGAGAGACCAGAGGGAGACCAGAGAGACCAGAGAGACCAGAGAGAGAACCAGAGACCAGAGAGAGACCAGAGGGAGACCAGAGAGACAGAGAGAGACCAGAGAGAGACCAGAGAGAGAGAGACCAGAGAGAGACCAGAGAGAAAGACCAGAGGGAGACCAGAGAGAGACCAGAGAGAGAGAGACCAGAGGGAGACCAGAGAGAGACCAGAGGGAGACCAGAGAGAGACCAGAGGGAGACCAGAGAGAGAGAGACCAGAGAGAGACCAGAGAGAGACCAGAGGGAGACCAGAGAGAGACCAGAGAGAGACCAGAGAGAGAGAGACCAGAGAGAGACCAGAGAGAGAGAGACCAGAGGGAGACCAGAGAGAGAGAGACCAGAGGGAGACCAGAGAGAGACCAGAGGGAGACCAGAGAGAGAGAGACCAGAGAGAGACCAGAGAGAGACCAGAGGGAGACCAGAGAGAGAGAGACCAGAGGGAGACCAGAGAGAGACCAGAGAGAGAGAGACCAGAGGGAGACCAGAGAGAGACCAGAGGGAGACCAGAGAGAGAGAGACCAGAGAGAGACCAGAGAGAGACCAGAGGGAGACCAGAGAGAGAGAGACCAGAGAGAGACCAGAGAGAGACCAGAGAGAAAGACCAGAGGGAGACCAGAGAGAGACCAGAGAGAGAGAGAGACCAGAGGGAGACCAGAGAGAGACCAGAGGGAGACCAGAGAGAGACCAGAGGGAGACCAGAGAGAGAGAGACCAGAGAGAGACCAGAGAGAGACCAGAGGGAGACCAGAGAGAGAGAACCAGAGAGAGACCAGAGAGAGACCAGAGAGAGAGAGACCAGAGAGAGAGAGACCAGAGAGACCAGAGGGAGACCAGAGAGAGAGAGAGACCAGAGAGGAGACCAGAGAGAGACCAGAGAGAGACCAGAGAGAGACCAGAGAGAGAGAGACCAGAGAGAGACCAGAGAGAGACCAGAGAGAGAAACCAGAGAGAGACCAGAGAGAGACCAGAGAGAGACCAGAGGAGACCAGAGAGAGACCAGAGAGAGACCAGAGAGAGACCAGAGGGAGACCAGAGAGAGAGAGACCAGAGGGAGACCAGAGAGAGACCAGAGGGAGACCAGAGAGAGAGAGACCAGAGAGAGAGACCAGAGAGAGACCAGAGAGAAAGACCAGAGGGAGACCAGAGAGAGACCAGAGAGAGACCAGAGAGAGAGAGACCAGAGGAGACCAGAGAGACAGAGGAGACCAGAGAGAGAAGCCAGAGGAAGAGACCAGAGAGAGAGACCAGAGAGAGACCAGAGAGAGAGAGGAGACCAGAGAGAGAGAGACCAGAGAGAGAGAGACCAGAGAGAGAGACCAGAGAGAGACCAGAGGGAGACCAGAGAGAGAGAGACCAGAGAGAGACCAGAGAGAGACCAGAGAGAAAGAGAGAGACCAGAGAGAGAGAGACCAGAGAGAGACCAGAGAGAGACCAGAAAGAGACCAGAGAGAGAGAGACCAGAGGGAGACCAGAGAGAGACCAGAGAGATACCAGAGAGAGACTAGAGAGAGAG